CAAGCTGTTGCCTCAGTTTTAATTTCGATTATTACTACAGCAAGTTGCCACATGCAACTGTAGCATCTTGGACATGGTTTCAGTTCTAGATTATTATAATTATCCTCTGAATTGATCTCCCCACATTATTCCTCTGTCCTCTTCTACTTTTTTTTTCTAGTTTGTATGTATTTCCTTTAAGAGGCAAATTATTACAACTGGAGAAAATATCTGTATATACTCATACTCTCATAAAAGTACATCTTATACAAAGTTTCCATTATATATTTGTCATGTGATGAGCTGATATTCCCCCATAGAGAATTAAGTTTACAAAGTAAGGACTGTATCATTCTCTTTGGGGGGGTGGGTTCCAGGGATCAAACTCAGGACCTTGTGCTTTCGAGGCAGGTGGTGGAACCACTGAGCTAAATCCCCAGCCCATTCCCAAATGTATCATTCTTAACTCACAAATACAGTCCTAGTGACTAGAACAATCCTATCATGTATGGGCTGGGGATTTAGCTCAGTGGCGCCATTACCTGCCTCACAAGCACAAAGTCCTGTGTTCAATCCTGGGTACTGCTAAACAAAACATATCTAACAATCCTATTGTGTAGTAAATACTTGGGGGGAATACTTGTTGAGTGAATGAATCATTGTTTTTTAAACTTTATAAAAGAAGAGTCCATTTATAAACTGAAACCCTATATGAAAGGTTTATATATAAAGCAAATAAAAGCAGAACAGCTCTAATTAGAGGAAGAGGCAAGAAGTGGCAGACTCCAGCCACGACTTTATCCTCTCCCAATTCCTTTTTTTTTAACTAATGAGTTTATTAGTATATTTATTTATTTATTTATTTTTGGTACCAGGGGTCAAACTCGGGTCCTTGAACTTGCAAGGCAGGCGGCGTAACCACTGAGCTAAATCCCCGGCTCATAGTATATTTATTTATTAGCATATTTTTCAGTCCACAGCCAATGTTAAAAACATATAGGTCGGTGAAAATATAGCAATATTCCAGAAATATTTACTGAGAAGCTTTAGCATTCAGAAACTAGGGCATTAGGGGCTCTTTTAATCTGAATAGAAGGCTTGTTCTAAATTCAAATACTGTACCAATCAACAACCTTCTAAACAGCTGTACATTATATTTTCTTTAATATACTTTTTAGGGGTGATTTTTGTTATAGTAAATATTCATAAATATGGTTAACATATCTCTGAATGTTGTTTCCCTTGAAGCATGCCTATGATTTTTGAAAATAATTAATCTATATTAAGCATAAAAATCCTTTTTGCTACTATAATTGCTGTAACCTGAAGTTAGACTTGCTCACCTGAAGGTAGATTAAGAAATTTTCCAGAAACCAAATAAGCACAGGTGAACAATGACTACTGCTTTTCAGTTTCATCTGCCACCAGTCATTTCTTCTGACCACTAAATGACCGCGGCTATTTCTGCAGCTACTGTGGCTGAGAGCGAAGACAAGACCAGATGATCACCACAAAGCCCCATCAGTAGGCTGTAGGACCATGTTCAAAATGTATGGTCATCTACCACTCCATCTGCTTGTCCTCAAGGTGCATCCCCTCCCACTTAGGAATGCATTTGAATGATACCACTGAAATCAGTCCACAATGGATATTTGGGAGATTTCTGTATTAGAACAAAACCCACAATTCCATTGTCATAAAAGAATAAATTACTCTCTCTCTGCCTCATCTGTTTGGTTGGTCCCTTTGGTGTTAAGTAAACACACACTTTTCTATTTGCTCCCCAAACCTCTAACAGTCTTCCGTGGAGTTTTCCATCAGGCTATTTGGCTACCTTCTAAGGTCTGCAAACACAGGACTAACAACACACGCGCTGTCTTGTGATTGAACTGAATCTCTCTTACCATGAAGTCCCAGTATGATGAAAAGGAGCCCTGGAACTCTTCTCTGCAGTTGGGCTCATAGGTTTTGGGTCAGAGACCGCTGCATCATCCTGGCTGTTTTAGGACTCCTGGTGGGGGGGCATTTCGTCCATGTCAGGGTGCATTACTTTCTGTGGATTGATACTGTCAGGTAAGGCCCCATTCTCTTTTCTAACAACTCTGACATCACCAGAAAAGTTCAGGGCTCCATGAAATACAATTTGAAAGTAATTTTGGCTTTGGGCCAGGTGTAGGTCAGTGGTAGAGCGTATCCTTAAGCTGCTCAGCAGGCACCAGGTTGTACTTGATTCTATCTCAGTTTTCAAATGTGTTGGACTTAGGACCCCTTTACATGTTTAAAAATTGAAGACTCCCCAAACTGCTTTCTTGTATGTTTATATTTATTGGTACTTACATTAAAAACAAGCGATAAATTATGAAATTCCAAAAAACTCCAAGTTGAAAATAGATCTACATGTTTACATACATACATAGCATTTTATGCAAAATTACTGCTTTTCAAATAAAAATTAGTAAGACTGAATTTTGTGTTTTTAAAAGTTTTGTAAATCTCTTACATGACAGCTGGATTCACATATATACCTCTGCAATCTGTTGTAATGTATGACAATATAGCCTCTGGAAAATTCCACTGTATACTTGTAAAACGATGAGAATGAAAAAAGCAAATAATGTATTGTCCTGAAGGTGTTTTGGCCTCATAGATTTCCTGAAAGGGCCTCAGGAACAGTTGGGGAGCTTGAGAAATGATGTCCTAGATGGTCTATTCTAGCTAGCATTGATGCTTTGATTTCTGAGATTCTATTGATTGCGTTGAAGAATATTATTAAAATGCCAACAAAGAATGTGGGGAGAATATCATGCAGAAAAATGTTGAATTCAAAATAAAGGTAGGGGTTGGAGCTTTGGAAGGTACTTTTTTTGTTTGTTTTTTTGGTACTGGGGATCAAACTCAGGACCTTAGACTTGGCCCCACCCTCCTTTTTGGTACCGGGGATTGAACTCAGAACCTTGCACTTACGAGGCAGGCAGCAGAACCATTGAGTCAAATTCCCAGACTCTTGAGATGGGGTTTTGATAAACTGCCAAGTTGCTCAGGCTATGTTCGAATGTGCACTTCTGCCTCAGCCTTCTAGAGTGCTGGGGTTAACTCTTAACCCATTTTGAATCTTCCATCTCTAGGATGATGTCTGGCACAGTTATTTGAACCTCAGAGGAATGAACTCTTTGAATATTCAACGTCTATCACACTTTTTATAGTCCTCAGCAAACTAATCAACATCCAACCATTTTCTTCAAGTTGCCATCAGGTCCTGGTCAGGAAAATAATCCACGTGGTATCTTACTGCGCCTTTGTAATCACTCTGCTCATGAGGAACAGTCATGAACCGCACTAACTCATTTGGCTAAGGCCCGATGGCAAATATGATGGCTGTCCCCTGAGCGGTCGCCTACTGACCCTGTAATTCACTCAGTTCCTTAAGCACACAATATGAATGTCACCCAACGCTGTACTGTCTAGCACATTTCTCAGAACATGTCCTCATCGTGGAGGACGCCGTGACTACTTCTGACGCCAAGTACAGATTATGTCATCTGACACAATTCACTTAATAACGGAAATTAAAAGCTGTGACTGTGCCAGGCTTTATTCTTCCTCGGTTTGTGGCTTAAAGTGACCTCGAAATGGAGAAAAAAACCCAAAAACCAAAAACAACAGAATTGCCCTTCCCATTAAAAGTGTGGAGGCTCCAGCCCAGGATGGGGAAGATGGCCCGCAATCCGGGGACTCGGGGCAGGACGGTCGCCAGTTCAGTCTCGTCCACACTTCGAGACCATGACTGTTTAAAGGAGGCAGGCTCCACCCGTCGATTTTACTCATCAGACGCATCTGTTACACATTCCCTACTGTGTACCAGGCGGATATCCCAGAGGAGAATACGCCCGCATGGCGTGGCGTCCAGCTCCTCCCGCCAGGGACCGGGCGGGGAAGCCCGCGGGCGCGTCACGAACGGAACTCGGCCTCCTTCCCAGACGCCGCGGCCGGGCGGGAGGTGA